ATGAAAAGCGGCCTGATCAGCTGTCCGGTGGTGTAGTGGGTAGCACGCCTGCGTTCTGCTCATGAAGTCCCGGGTTCGATCCCTAGTCGGGTCGATGGATTCGCACTGCTGATGAGATCCAACCGGGTCGAAACAGCTGTCCAGTGCTTCCGAGCTTTTCAGTTCACGCTTCATTTGCTATATACACGACGAATTCCCGTTTGAAATTTAACCAAATCCTTCATTACCCACATGCAATTACAGACATGTGCTGAAAAACTAACGGAAATGCAACTCGGTCAGGATTTGGTATATGTAGAACATAGGGTATCAGGTCAAGGTCAACGGGGGCTTCGGTCGTTGGTGGGAGACTCAAGGTTTGGCATTGCTTTTGTTTCCACTCTACCTCGGACTAAAAATCCGTAAAGTAAGCACTGCATGCGAAGTTATCAAATTTCTCTTGTGAATGATTGGATGTGATCTAAATAAAATCCAAAACCGCAAATCTTCATCCAAAGAATTTTACTGTCTAGTTGAATAATTACGAAACAGCCTCGTCGCGTATCGGATATTATTTTCTGGATAGCATTAGGCATACATAAACTGTTGTCGAATATTTAGTAATGCTAATTTGCAATGGTCACACCAATCGTAACTTTTACAGACCTTCATTCTTTAGCATCTACAGTCGAGGTGTTTGGATAATATATCATATTAACCTCCAACGTTATAATTCCAGAAAGCGCTGCTGGTCGAGGATATTCCTTTATTGAGAATAACAGCTGGGACATCACTAATTTGGCATACATAACACATAAAATTTCATCAGAAATATACCATCGCAGTTCCTGGCCGCATAGCGGGTAATGAACGTAGCAGTCGATAGTTATTCTCTGAGATACAGCAATTTGCCCTCGGTGGTCTTAATTTTTGATCTTCGAAAGTAATCACCAACTATGTTATCTACTACTCACAAGTGAGTAGTATCTCACGACACCAGTGCCATTCCAGTTGTTTGTTTGACTAGACAACACCCCGCATTAGTAATTCTTACCTTATAGGCCTGTTAAATCTGCTAAGCTCCTCTGATCCATTTCCACTTATTACTTTTTTATTCTGTTGAGCAGGTATCTGTCGCCAGCATTAAAGGCACATCGATACTCCGCCCGTCGGAAGTGACTGTTAATCGGATTCCGTTACCACAGTGGATAGAGACACATCCCGCGTTGATTGCCCAAATGACTTGTGAACTTTTGTTCGCTATCAGTTTTTCCATGACCGCCGCGCATCATGCCGGCTGGTCTGCTCTCGTCTGTTTGCCCGAATTGACTGGTGTAGGTGAAGCGGAGACCAGGCAGCTTGGCGTGTCATATCCGGACCAGACCACCACAGTACGCCACGTCTCTGTACCGTGTGAACAGACAGGTGAGTTCGTGTTTTTGTAAGACATTTCGATCCTGGTTCACTCTATCCGCAGGAGGCCACTGTCGATTTTCATAGCCCTCGTGTGATACATTACGCCTCGCGATTTTAGAGAGCAGAAACTACTGGGGTATTGGTGACTTATTCTGTCTAGCTTTATACGTTTTACTTCTTTAATCACTTTCTATCACAAGGTGTTTTGTTTTTGCTTGCGTTTTGCTCCACTGGCTTTATGGTTCCCTGTTATCTTCTTCGGTTTCTTCACTAACAAACACAAACTCATTTCCCGATCCCTCAAGTCTATGTCAGTATGTAGTCTAATACCGCTGGAACATCTGGTACAGCATGTAGTGGCTCATCACCTCAAGGCCAGGAAGATTTTATCTGATTGTCCCATCCCCTATATCTTGCTCTTAGTTGGAGCCTTTTTTATTCATCCACCCGTTCCAGTTATAAATTTACGAAGGTGCACGTTGATGTTTACAGGCGCTCTATTTTCCCGTATCTCGCCAGATCTCTCACAAACCGTGAATCGTTGCGGAAAATCTGCGCATAATGCTAATCTAAACCACTGATAAACACCATTGTAGTCATTGGTTTTTTGATGTCACTATCCGTTTCATTTTTTAATTGCTGTATAATATTTCCTTTTTTATTATTGACACACTGGTTATGTGGTTGCTGAATATCAGCCCCTCGGGGTGTATAAAGCGATTCCTTGACTTGACTTACTAGATCCCAACAACAATTTTGTGTCATGCATATGAGTCATTTCATCCAGTGGTGGTGGTGGTGGCGGTAGCCCTAATTTTCGAAGTTGGACCTATGTCACAACCACCCGATTTGGGTGGCATGCAATCTTGCTCTTATTCAGTTCAGTAACACATCTATCTTTTTTCGTTTCTTTCTTTTTCGTTTTACTTCTTTTCATTGAAATATTCAATGATACAACTTTCAAGAAGGGAAAAGCGGCCAATCCGAGGGCTACCAAGCAACATACATATGGATAGTCACGCGGTGGTGGTGGGATTCAAATACCTCCGGGTGATAATGTAGTGACGTTACCACCGGGCCACCAACCATCGTATTAGTTCCTTACATAGTTAACTGCTCTAAGTCCCGGTTGACGGTTCCCATAACCAGTGAGTTTCCGTGACTACGGGAGTTAATCCCTGTTACTACTGGGTACACTAAAAAAATGTCTAATGAAAATCATCTACATTGGTCTTGAATTGTCCCCTCCCTCCCTCTATTTTCACCGTAAGATGCAACACCTCGTCTATTTGTTTTGACTTATGCGTTACTTTCTGACACCGCGAATAAAATGAAATGTGACTCCTTGAACATGAACAGGTGTTTGTGAACACTGTACAATACTGTTGTCAGGATGAGCCATTCTGGTAGACCAAATAGTCGTCACAGAAAACTAGCTGTCCCTTGTGACCGTGTTCAACTGCCACTGGTTTCAGTGTATATGCACGGTTCGTAACTCCTAACAGGGATGGAACAACGATTTTCGTGTTTTTCAATGACGAGTACACACGTACTCAGTGTACCAGTTTCATCTTTGCTGATCCATCTACATATGACCGAGATCCGCAACCCTTCCGCCTAACATAAAACGTTTCTTGTTATTCAGCCCAGTTCGGTTGAATTCCGATCATTTGCGATAATGATCACTTTATTTCCTATAAAACCCTCTTATTATTTTCGAATACCACCCGATCTGTCTAGCCAATGGTTTATTCCGCATGTTCCAGAGCCTAACCGACTCTGATCCCCGTATTGAAAATGTCCTTCTATGGATGAATGAGAGCAGGTAAATTCTAGAGGAGGGTATCAGTTCTATCCGGCAAGGGCTTGTTTCGCTCGATGCCCCTGTGTGTCTAGTGTTCTTCTTTTTCCTTTTTTTGCTTGCCTTTTATCGTGCAACCTTTTTTGTTTCAAAACAGCCGATGCTACAACCTCGCTAATACTGCATTGTTCGAAACGGTAGGTATGTAGAGTTCGATTGTGTACTGTGTTGACGTTAGAGGTTCATCTTCTTCCTCCTCCCTCGAAATAGGTCCAATCCCTGTCCACCTTAAACATTATCACTAACCTTGTATGCATTGCGAGTTTGGCAGCGACCAGTGAAGTTCGCTACACTGTATTTCGCTGTACGATGATGATCATGATTGGTCATAAATTGTCTGACCCAATGAGTCTGTGTAGACTGCTATTTACCCATCCGTGTCCATATTGATTTTTTTCCGCTCCAAAGCGACTTTAATTCCAAAGCACAATTTTGTCTCCACAATCCCCTTTCCTCTTCCTCCATCACCTAGTCAGAGAAGTTTTTGTTCAAACAATCATTGATCCGAACCGCGGCACGGCCACATTACACGTGTACTATCTGCCGTGGCAAATTGATCTGTCCCCGGTGGCAGTCGAACTGATTAATCGTACCCAGTACAATTTGGCTTTCCAGCTGACTGAACCGGATGAGCCCGAACGATTGCGATTTGTTCGAGATGTCATTTGTGACGGGATTGTCGAAGCCGTGCCAATCTTGCCACGTGCGTCGGGTCGTATCTGGTGGATACCTCCACTCGCTGTCACCAATCTCTTCACACTGATCTCGTTCGAGGGCAAAAGTTCGAGCGCCACTCCGTACAACTCTTTTCTAAATGTGGATCATTTGGATCAAATCGAGATCAACGTTTATTTGCGATCTGAGCATTTGAATCTCCTAACACGAACAGGACTTCGTCAGTTGTGCGAACAAAGTACGGATCGAATCCACCGAATTGATACCGAGTTTCCTGAGGTGACACTTTATGTATGCACCAGAAACTGTTCTGTCACGTCCGGGTTACAACTGGAATTCAGCGACTGCGCTAGTTCATCAAACGTAGTCGGTGAAACCCAAACACACGCATATTATCTTACCGGTGCGATTGAATTCAACCGGTTTGCCGTCAGTCTTCTCGGATGTGCTTCGCTTGTGGCATCCTCCAAACGCCACCAAACTCTGCATCGGCTACGTCAAACGTGTATCGATCACCCGAAGGACGAATTCTTGAGACTCACTCTCCGTCGTCCTCACTTGTTTGTGTGTGCGCATAGGGATGAGTCTGATATCCAACCCATATCTCGACGAGTGTGTATGGATATAGATCTTTCGGTGCAACATATCCAATTGGACAATTGGGCCCAAGCCTGGACCGCATCGTACGATTTCCCCGTCCCATTTGCGACCACAGATGTGACCCGGTTGCGAGCTCGTTTATCCAGTTGCTCCTTGTCATCACTCCTAACTGCTCCCGTCATCGCTGTGTTTCTCTATCCCAGTCCCTGTGTGATTACTTTGGAAGATCGCTTTGTATACGACTTATGCAGCCTCGTGGACAATCTGTTTTCTATACAGTCACCGCGGGGCAGGTACAAACCACCACCACCACGGAGTCTCCGGAAACCCCTTTTGATTCAATGCATTCATGTGCACCAGTTCACTGCCCGTGTGAGTTTACGAGCCATGCTTCGCTTCTATCTATCTTGTCACGATGCGCCACTTACTCTGGGACCGTTTGATCTGTTTACACCGCGCACAGTTTCCGGTTTTGCTATCCCCGTGGCCGAATTACGACGTCTGCTCGTGATGCACTATTTCACTCAGGCTATCTTTCGAGCCGGTTGGCTTGTAGGCAGTTTAGATATGCTGGGGAATGTGACCGGATTGCTTCAGTCCTTGGCGCATGGAATAGATGACCTGATTCATTTGCGAACATCTTCGATCATCAGTTCGGACAAAGAGGATAGAAGAAAACATGATTGGGCACTGGTATCAGATAAGGAAAGCCGTGAGACAATGATGGCCATGTCTCTGCAAATGGATAGCAATACACAGTTGGAATACGTGACTTTGGGCGCAACCGAATCCTCACCAGGTGCCCCTCCGGAATCAGTGGACAATGTCACAGCCCAGCTGGGTGTGCTTCGTCGTTTGGGCGCTGGTTTGAATTCGCTGGCTCGTCACACGACAGGGTAAGTTCGGGTCAGCTGTTTTTCATTGCTTATATTTCCTCGAATACATTAAATTCCACAAATTCGAGAATCTTTTTGGAAAAAAATCGTTGATACGGTGATCGTCTTTATGCTGTAGATCCGTACAATGTAGATTGTACGTGTTAACAATCCAATGAAGAAACTCGAAATTCTCTCATCTCTAACGGTTTGCGAGATAAACTCCGAATACCTATGATTTTAACAAAACAACGGCAATTTCAGTTTACTTTTCTCTTTTCTGGATGTACTCGATCGGTACCGGAAATAAGCCCATTGACTTGAAATACTGTCACCGACACTACATTCCCCTAGACTGATTAACTACCCTGCATTGGTCATACCCTCCTTCTAGAAATTTTACTGTAGAATAGTCGCACACGAAGTAGATGGTAACCGAATGATAAAGGTCACCAAATCATCGTCCCGGAGGTTGTGTTCAAATCCCACCACCACCATTATCTGATTTTCCCCTTTCTGTTGTATGGTAGTCCTCTGATAGGCTGCTTCCTCCTTCCTAAAAACTTAATCTGTATGCATTCAATAAAAGGAAAGAAAATGTTTAGTTTCGGTAATAATCTAGCTGTTTTGTTTGGTTCGTCTTTATCTACCATATACTTTTGTATTATGCACCATGGTGTGATAAACGGTAGACCGGGAAACCCCTTTGTTATGGGGACTTACTATTCGGTTACGGGAACCCGCAGCCTAAGAACTGGAACTTATTGTGAAGAGCCACATGAAGCACCACTAGGATTAACACGGTATTGAGCCGGACGGTATTGAAACTGCCTACCAAAGTCGGGTGGCTGTTGCAGAATTCGAACCTCCGACCGAAGGTCCCAGAGTAGATTGCTGACAACAACTTAAACCGTTTGGCCACGATCGCCCAGACTTTTGGTTTTTTGACGTGATTACATTTTGACCGCTAAGGTTGTTAATAATGTTATTGTTTTATGTGATGTTTCACAATTCCCAGTAAGGAAATTAAGTCAATGTTTCATGTATTCGCGATTTGTGGGTTCATATGTCTATGTAGGTTGGGTGGGGGAAACAAATATGCATAGATCACTGCCGTCAGTGTGGCCTATTAGCTCGGTTAGTGTGTGCTGTGCAACGGTGTGATGGACGTCCATGCTTAGGTTCAAACCCCCTCGAGGCTACTTTGTAAATGCGCAATAACATGGATTGTGCCTCAGAAGCTGCCATAATAACCTCCCAGGTGCATCAGGTGGAGAGAAGAATTCTCTCGAAAGGGATTCTGTTTTAGGTCAGCGGTAAACGGAAAATCGAATTAGTCATATGCTTTTGGTGCATTAGTAAGTCCTAGTCCCGGAATCTTCTCGACTTGCATATGAAAACGCTTTGTCATGGGTTTATGTGACTTTTTTGGGAGAAAGGAGATGAACCGGAAAATCACTACATCTTAGTAGTTTCTTTTCGGCTGTTTCTTGGTGGCTATTACAACTAACCTCCAGCCGAAGTATAACAGCTTGGGCAGATCCATCGCTGTGCTTGTCTCTGAACAAGGTCCCTCGAGCTTTCTAGCCAAATATCTTGGAATTGCTTACAACTCAACTTAAAAGCTGTCACAAGGCTTCTCGCAAGAGAGCTTCTCTCAGCCTCTTGATTTCCTTTCGCTTTAACACAGTCTGCTGTCTGTGACTTTTATTCTAACCGTGCCCCACACTCGTGAGCGGGGCCCCCTAGTAACAACCGCTGTATTATTATCATACATTATTATTATTACATTGTACATTACATTACATTATTACATTATCATCATACATTATCATACACACATCTGTGGAATCACAATTGATGTAGTGAAAGGATGTTTTCGAGAAGAGGTCTCCTTAGATCTAAAACTCGTTGGCGCGCTCGTAAGATGCTTCCACGAAACACGAGAAATCGGATGAACACAGCTAACCAATGGGTATTTTTAGCCCATAATGGCTGCGTTTCAAAACCGCACAGCAAAATTTACTGTGAATTTGAACGTATACTAGAACTTAAGAAAAATAACTGATATCATACTTGTAAAAATATTGTGAAAATTGTTTTTTTGTCAGAAAACGGCAGGTAACAGTTTTATATTTTAGTTGCTAAAAGATAAGTGGCCCCGCAGGGATTCGAACCCAGGCGAGGAAGCCACGTACACTTTTTCACAGCGTGCAGTCTCCTAACTGTACAAAAATCGTACATGCTCGAGTTCGAATCCCACTCAGGCAACGAAGCCTTTCATGACTGAAACTTAAGAATGATCTTCGGAATTAAGCAGTTTCTCTAGTCTACCTGACAATAAGAATTCACTTATAACTGTATCAGTAAGTTAGAGTTGTCAATTTGTTTTCAAACCATATCTAATACAGTGAACGTGATTCAGTTTGGATCGTAGGTAGGTAGACTGAAAATGACATTCCGCATGTCAAATGTAACACTCCTATTGTTCTCTTCACCCGCAGTGGTCTTCTGCGATCCGTAACAGGGATGGCAGCCAGCATGGCACGTAATCTGGATCAGCTCAGTCTCGACCCGCATCACCAACTGTTGCAAGAACAACTGCGTCGTCGTGAAATCCCTCGTTCATTTTCCGAAGGAGTACTGACCGGTTTAAGCGGATTCGGACTTTGCGTGTTGGGCGCACTAGCTGGTGTGGCCGATCAACCTCTACAGGCCTTGTTCACTGCTATGGATCAACCCAGTCCAGAAGAACTTCAGCGTACTGATTCGAACTCATCGCTGGCTTTGCGCACATTAGGTGGAATCGGTCGGGGACTGGTAGGAGCAGTGGTCAAACCGATCGCAGGTGCTGCGGAATTCATCGCCCAAACCGGAACCGGCGTATTGCAAAGCAGCAATTTGAGCTACGGAGCCGCGAGCACAATACGAAGATTAGATGGGTGAGTCTTAGCTACCAATTGTCATCGTTTGTCGTTATTGTGCTCGTGGACCCTTTTTTGCACACAACGTGATCAGACGAACTCCGTAATCTGAGAATACAAATTGCGTGATAGTGATGAGAACAATCAAAACGTTAATTGCTTATTTATAGTTAGAGATAAGACGGGTATAAAAAGTGTATTTTGGCACCGTCTGTCAAGATTCGTCATATATATATATATATATATATATATCGAGTGCAAAGGTAATAGTGATAGCCTATCCGCGACCTTGCTGAGACTTTTGGAGGCTCCGTGGCATCAACTCCGATGAGAAAACCGAACCGGTACAGTTTAATTTAAAAACCTGGAGACAGATCGACCCGAAAACCTTCAATACATTCACTGCATAATGTTACACGTGGCTGTCAAGTACTGATTGTCAAACTTCTATTACGAGCTCAAATCATTAATGAATTAGTTTTGACGAAGGCCAACTGTTTCTGCCTCCATGTGGTGACTTAGTCCATCAGAAGTTATTGGTTTCGTTGCTTTCGAAAGCTGAGAGCGGCTAGAGGATCTAAGGAGTAACCAACCTTGGGCATAGAACACATTGCAGTGGTTGTCCAATTAAAAGAGTACCAATATTGGTTATTCATAGGTCTAAACAAAACAGGCTATGAAGGTCACTTTTGGAGTGTGCGATTTACACACATGGACGGGGGCTGATTTCTTGCTTTGTGACTGGCCACCATTCCCTTGCACCTGGTGAACTGCTTATATACGACGAAACGCCTCCAATAGCCTCTACTGAGGAAACCCTGCTCACTGTCTTCACGCACCGGTGTTTTCCCACCAAAGTGCGGGGCCGAAAAGCCAATATGCCGGGCTATAACCGGGCGCGTAAACCACTGGTAGATCATATAGGTAAATCGGATAAAACCCCTGGTTCCGAGAAGAAACGTTCGAACCATACATGCACACCTTCCTGGTGCTGTCAGTGGACACTGCCTAGGTTGGGCATCGAGGTGTACGTGACGCTCGGTTCCGTCCAAAGAGTGCATAATTCGATGAACTGAACACCGGCCCGCAACGGATTGTGGTTTTTACACACCACCTGGCTGCCCTGAGAACCAGACTGTGGCTAGTGAAAGGCTCCGGTTGTAAACTTCCCAACTCGACCTGGACAATCTGGTAGTGTCACACCCAGAGGCGACTCGTGAATCTTTTTCGTTTTTTATTAGGATTATTATACTGTGATTCGTTTGGCGCTGCCTGGATTCAGACAAGTGTATAATCAAAATAATAAAGCATCAGAGGATTTTTCACTAGGTCCAGGCTTTGTGTGCCAACCGAATTTGTTGTATCTTTCTCATGGAATTGAGTGTGAAAAGCGGGGTGGTGATGTTGGTCTGCTGTGTGGCATGTGGATGGGGCAACCAAATAGGACGCATAGAATATCAAACAACGGCTTGCAAGATGGTTGCATACCTGGTCACCTAATCGTTTGGAAGAAGATCGAACAGTTGATAGACAAGCAACATGACAGTCTTTGGTCAGTGAACCAGTCATCCGACCTTCGTTGAGAACAGTTTCTCACAGTGTCGCTGCGCACTGATCTTTCGTACAGTTGTTTAACGCTTTCAGCATATGCGGATTGAATCCACAAACTGCTATTTTCTTCCCATGAACTGTACGACAATCAGTGTGGTCAGATATATATTTTTTTCATACACGTCTCCATCCAGACTGTGCCAAACAAATCATGGTACAATAATCTTTATGAAAAAGAGAAAAAATTTCCATGATTTGCAAGTGGGCGGAATACTGCTAGGTTGCCCAGGCCAAAACAGATGATCTTGAGGGACTTGGTTCACTTGGTTGAAGCAATGAAGAATATCTCGTCACGAGTAGACCTGAAAACTAAGCGACTTAAGTACGCACCAGTGGAAGACAAAAGCCTCCCTGCATGAGTGCATGACCTAAAAGTCAACATCTGTCGGAATTTTATGATTTTATTCCAGTGTATTCGAATCTGTCACTTGAGTATATCAAGCATTTACTTTAATTCGACGGGTAAGCAATAAGAACTACTTTAAGAATTGTCACTCCATTGGCGATTATCCAAGTGGTCAGTGAGTCAAATTAACAATCCCTCGTGAATGAATTCGGATCCTCGTGAATTTCCCTTGAATGTGCTGATAATAACTAGGGCCTGTGACAATCACTCTGGTTACGGTTTTTCTCCTCGCAACATTAAACGATCCCGAGAGCTCCAGTTACACGACGCTCTCACCTCATTTTGGGAATGAAATACTCTACTCTTGCCACTAATTATTACCTATTGCGTAATATGAATAACTCTATCACAGTGAGGAAATTCTGTTATTTTTTTCCTCAGACCATATATCACTGCTACGGACCATTTAGTGTCGTCCTATTTGGCAATCGATTCGGCAATTGTTCGGAATTGGGCATTCACTGCGTCACAGGGTACTTCATACCCTGCGCATGTCTTCGTGGCCCTAATTCGAAACCCCTCATCAAACAAAAGAGAAGAGTCAACAACCGATGTGATTTGGCTAATAGTTTCGGAGAACAAGGTGAGCTGCAACGTATCACATGCACTCTTTCTGTATTCAATGTGAAATTGAAAGTTTCTTTCGGGGATCATTTGAAAGGTGTTCGTGTAGTGCATGAAAATCTTTGATCGCACCCTTGCTTTTCGACATTTTTGGTATGAACACCTACACCGAGTATGCTTATGCATATATACCAAATAACAGAAGCAATCCTTTGATGATCCGAGAAGGCCTAATTTATTCCTGAGAATTGAAAGTGACCTCTCAGAGACAATTGCAACGGGATTTTTGAACTGTGTAAATGTCATGGAAAACCCAACGGCAACATCCCATTATTTTAATTGAGATGCAAATCAGGACTGTGTTCAGACCATTTATCTTGATATTTCAAACGAGTTACCACATTCTACTGGCTTGAGTTGTATGCGGGTATAGTGGCGTATAGGATAACCGCATCGCAAACCGTAACGCATACCACTGATATCACGCTCGCACTTTTGCACGTTACTTCAGGACTTCGCTGGTGCATCCTTGCGGCTTCCTCCATGTGGAGTTGTTTTCCTCACGTAAAACCACATTCTTTTCAACCTTTCAAAATCGGCTGCAAATGTCTATCCACTCGCCTCAGTTGTAAATTGACTTTCAGCTATCGAACGAACTACAGTGTTTATTCACTCGCTGTTTAGCACTTAGTTGCGTCCCAACAGTCAGACCATACTATTATTCGACCAGAAAGGGTATTTTGTGATGATTCGACAGCCGACACGGAAAGGCCACGGAACAGAAAAAAACCCAAATGAAAACTAATTCAATGCATCTTTTTGTCCGCGCATATGTACATGCTCTGGGACTTCATCTCATTGCAGATCACCGCGCTCATTGCTAATATTGAGCAGTGTTTGATTCAGGACACACATTGTAGGTGAAAATAAGTTTTCGTGTGTTCATTTTTAAGCCATTGCAATTACACTTGTGTAGGAAAATGAGTGGGATCTGTGTTTGGGTCAATTCATCATAGCAACTGAGCGGGAAGTAACAAGTTTGCCTGTGGTTCTGTTATTCGGATAGGAACGAGTTACATAGACGTTGGCAAGTGATTTGGGTCGTCCATCATGACGAGACTATATCTTGCGTGGTGTGATGGCTTGCGTGCCTCAATGACCCTGCGAGCTATGCAGGATGGCTTCTCACAGCCCTAGATCCAATCATGCCTGAAACGTCAACGGGTAAAGGCCAGACAAAGCTCAGTTTCACAAAGCCAGCTACTTGGGTACCTCCTGGCTTCCTTCTTCAATCC